TTTCTCCTCGATGAACTGGGTTATCGATTCGGCGATGGCTTGAGAGCGGACAGTGCCTTTGACGGAGTAACCGCGCTCAAGCAGTACGCGGATGATCCACAGCCCAAGGTAGCCGTTTGCGCCTGTGACAAGAACGTTTGTGGGAGCGCAGACTGTTGGCATCGTGAAAGTTGTGTGAAGTGTGGTGGATGGTCTCCAATGTCGCCAACGGCCTATATACTGTAGCTCATCTGGGCGGCATCGTCGTGAGCGAGTGATGGCTGGATGACGCAGTCTTCCTGCCGGCTTGTGGCTTGTACTTGGAGCTTGCTCATCATCACTATGCAGCTCGGTCGCAGATAGCTGTGGAAGACCGTATACCACGCGCTTAGCAGTGCTGCTAAGGGCTATCTCCGCCTTCTGTTCAGGACGCTGTGGAAACCACAGGCCGTGAACTTACATAGGACCACGGTAATACCGAGGCCTGAGCCACCTGCGCAGAAATGCATGAGAAAGCACGCCGAGAGCATCGCCACGAAGGAGTAGTAAGCTGATGGATAAGGCCATATCCACCTTGCTCTAGCATGTCTAAGTCTCGACTGCTGTGCGGCTCCGCGCTTGTATACGGTACATGGTATGTAGTGGTATGTCCGGTCGTCACGAGTCGTGCACTATACGGCATTAGAATTCCTACTAGAATCTGCATACATCAGCGAAGTCGATAATCATACCCTCAAGTTTGGCTATAGGCCGCGACGTATATGAGTTCGGTAGCGCGATGATTTCACCATAGCTCGAGGCTTAACTCTTCCCCGTGCCGGCTCGTTTTAGTTGCTCAAGTATCGATCCTCAATTGCAGGTGAGGTATCGAACGGCCTCGGGAAGAGGCATGACAGTAGAAAGTACGCCGTTGCCGCAGTAGATGAGTGTAAATGCTGAAATTTTCAGTGAAATGTACATCGCCAAGGCCCCGGCATTGGCGCCCTGCATGGTCGCGTGGCAGCTTCGGCATTGTCCGGCTGCTAGTGCTCCCCGTTCGCGGCGGAGGTTTGCAACTCTGCATCTGCTCACATCCACGTAAGTACTACAGTCTACAACCGTTGCCGACGAATGGTCGATGCGCTTTGCTCTAATTCTTACTCGTATGGCCATATCGTCCTCAAAACAGTACTCAAATGAACATATACGACTCCTACAACTCTCGTCAGATCACATGCCGGGTGAGCATTCGAATCTAGACAGACTCGCCGTACGGGAGAAGGTGCACCTGATTTGAGTCCCGAAAGGGCGCTCGCCGATTGCTAATATCGTCATGTATGTACAGGAGCTCGCTAATACTCCGTGGCTGTGTTGAGCCCTAAGTTTGCCTCAAACGGTTCCAGCAGATCCTCAAAAGTTGAGCATACCATACTACTTTAGTACCCGCCATCTCACAATGCGCGGCGACGGCATCAACTCCCTGCCAATGGTACGGCTAGGAGTGCTACTACGGACAGAAACACCGCATTGTCCAAACGCCTCGGAATGCACCCACTTTCATGAGTCATTGCTCCAGAGACGGGACCCCTTTCGACCGCACCTGCATGTTCAACCATTCACAGTAGCTTCTGAACGCACCTGCGTGACGTTCTTGCGAGTGCTCAGCATTGAATTGCAACATCTGATACGCACAGTATAATCATCTCTGTTGTAGTTTCACGACCAGAGTTCGGGTTCCCGGTTTTACATCGAACGGTGAGTATAACTCCTTTAGGCTTCCTGCGACGCCCGACCTTCAGCCAGCCCAATTTTACCCTGCCGTAGTCGGTGGGTCCCTATCCTATCGTCCCCAGTCGCCCTATATATAGGTGTGGTGTTAGCATCCAGCCTTCATATTTCTCTATCGCCAGGATATTCCGTTTCGTGGAGTCCCCGATATCTGTCAATGCCGGCCATATCCCCTCAAGACACAGTGCTGGTAACGGGGGCCAATGGATACATGGGCCAGTGGGCAATTCGTACACTGCTGGAGCCCGGATACATCGTTCACGGCGCCGCCAGAACGACGGAGAAGGCGCAGGCCATGTCGGCTTGGATTGCACGAGAGCTCCCCACCTACACGTCTCGCTTCGAAATGTTCGTTGTCCCTGACATTGCGAAGGTGCGTACGCCAACGTATATGCGTCTATGAGACCTGACCACGTTCTGTATAGGATGAAGCGTTCGACGAGGCCATCGCAGGGGTCCAAGGCGTGATCCACACTGCCTCGCCCGTGACCCATTGGATCGAAGAATTGGAGCCCTACCTCGTCCCCGCCGTAAACGGGACTACAAGCGTCCTCAAGAGCGCTCAATCGTCTGGGTAGGTTATACTAGCACTAATTCTGTCAACGAACTGGCCTTGTACTAAGCGAGAGCTAGCACATCATAGCACAGTCAAGCGCGTCGTCATAACGGGTTCTACAGCTGCTATGGCCAATACCGCCGCTCCTGCACGCACGTACACCGAAGCTGACTGGAACGATACCGTCGTCGAAAGGATCGAGAAGGAGGGTAAAGCTGCCCCAGGAGCCATCAAGTATGACGCGAGCAAGACGCTGGCAGAAAGGGGTACGCCGGGTGGATGTCTTAGTTGAGGACTCGGGTACTGATCTTGGAATATCTCGTCAGCCGCATAGAAGTTCATGGAAGAGAATAAGGCGGACGTTTCGTTTGACCTCAGCGTCATCAGCACCTCGTGGGCGTTTGGGGTGCGTCGCCTCCTATGCTCATGCCATCGCTTGCGGCGTGCTAACTAGTCTGACTTAGCCTATCGCCGATTGGACTGTGCCATCTCCTGCCGCCCTGACTTCCACAGCTGCTATGTTGTACATGATACTCTTCAAGGACCCTCCTCTAGAGCCATATCCCGACTATATTTTCAACCATGTCGACGTCCGCGACTCAACAGAGATGCATATCAAGGCGCTCGAAGTGGACGCAGCCGGTGGCGAGCGTATCATCTCGAACTCGCGTACGTGGCACACTCGCATCGTTCTAGGACACGTGTAACTTAGTTCCGCCTCGCTCCAACAGACCGAATCACCTGGGCGGAGTGCGGTGAGTGTTTACAAGCGATTGCTTGCTGTCGATGTGTATTGGGATTAAGTTATTACAGTGGATGCCGTGAAGGCTCTCGGTATGCTACCTGGCTTCAACAGGGTCGAGAGGCACCTCAAGACGGAATACCCACCGGCGCCCTACTTCTCTAACGAGAAGGCCGTTCGTATCTTCGGCATCAAGTTCCGTACAGTCCAAGATACTATGAAAGACATTGTTGAACAGTTCAAGGCGTTGGGATGGCTCAAACACCTGGAGACGTAGGTGGGCAAGCACGATTGACCCGAGCGCGAGTCAACGGTTCGCTGGTTACCTCAAGCGCTTCTAGTGTCCTCGAATCCATCGCTCGTGATGCGCGTTCAATGCAGGTACAAATGCATACCATTGAAGTACAATAACGTAGAATATCAGTGGATACTAAGGTAAATGAGAACAATGTCCGTATCGTGCATTAACCTCACAGCTCGACCAGCGGGCCGCCCACGCGAGCTCGCCATACCCATCACCGGATCCTCTTGAAGTTATCCCTTGCATGACGACCGAAGTCGCGGTAGCGGAGCTTGGTCTCCTTCACGTTCGTCGCCCGGGCGACGGCCTCACTCGCCTCGCTCCCCAGGATCTGGAGCGACTTCATCTGCGACTTGAGCTGGCGCACGCGCCGCCGCGCGTGCTTCCGCCGAAGTGTGCTCGACACGCTCAGCGCACTGCTCGCGCTGATGCTCCCCGGCGAACACTCCGACCGCCACGACCGAGCTGAGAGCGGCGTCTTGGGCGAGCGTTGCCACTTGCTCTTAGCGGACCCCGGAGTCGTCGGTGCAGACGTGCATCGCGCGCGATTGGGCGTCTTAGGTACGAGTGGCCACTGAGAGCCGTCTTCCTCGTCGAACGGATCGTTCCCGGCGGCTCGAGAAGGCGAACCATTGTCTTCTTCATCCCCCTCTGCGCCGTATTCGTCTTCGAAAGGGTCCTCGTCGTGCCTAGAAGGCGAGACCAGGCTGCTCAGTGTGGCGCGCGGCGCGGGCTTGGGATCCTTGCGCATCTTGCGCCGGCCGAATTTCCGGAAGAGGAACGCGAGCTTCTTCCGCGTCTTGCCTGACTCACCCTTTGTCGGCATCGAGCCCCCGACGAGCGGCGTTCCCTCGTCTTCGTCCATCGGCGAATCAAGAAGCGTCAAGGAGCCCATGTTTAGTTGCGAGAGAGAAGTGCGCCGGGCGCCCTGGACGGGAGGCTGCATGCCGTCGATGCCGGACCAGTCTGGGGACATGGGAGAGGCCATGTCGACGTCAGCGTCAATGTCTTCGCGCGCGATGGTGATGTCGAGGATTTTGGCCGCCTTCTTGTCGGAGCGCCGCCGCGCGCGGAGGACGTCCCGGTCGACCACGTTGATGGTGGGTGGCAACGAGGGCAGACTCGACGCTTCCTCGTCGAACTCGTCGAAAAGTGCGTGCGCAACGTCTTCTTGGAAGAGTGCATTGAATGAGGGCATGTTGACGGGGTTGAGGATGGTGCTTCGCGGCCTGCGCGGGGTAGATTGGGAGTGGGTGGAGGTGGGAGAGGTTGGAACGTGTGTGACTGTGGTCGGGCCGCCTCTTTGAGAAGATATACGGCACGCACAAAGAGTTCCAAAGGATATTGAACGCAGCAATGCCTTTGTTAAGTTCCGGATCGTATACCCGGCGGTTAGTGACATTGACTTGTCGCACAATTGCTATTCACAGATTGAGCCACTCACATCGATATACCAACCACAAAGCTGTTTGATCGATAACACAGTGATAGGATATTACCCAAATCACGCTCAGACTGGGGTTCCTCGAGAGTACTAGTCGAGGCAGTCGCAATTACTTGCTCATGCAACTCAGGGTGTTTGCTATTCGTGCGCAACTTGTATTCCTTCTCGGCGTATTTGTCGACAGGTATGCTCTGTAAGAACATACTCGCATGGCCTGGTGGTCTAGTAGTATGATTCCTTCTTAGGGTCCATCGGTTTAAGATTCATTTGGAGGAGGTCCCGGGTTCAATTCCCGGCCAGGCCCAGCTTTTTGTTTGCAAACACACACGATTGGCAGCCCCGGGAACGACTGAACGCGCAAGTATTGCATCTAAATTGACACCAGTATAGAAGATGCTTCTTGTGTTGCTACCTCGTACACGCCCCATTTACCAGTACATAAGCAGTCAAAAGGCAGGATACATATTGGACCCGAAGAATAGAAGTGGTCGTAGTGGTCGTTGCAAAGGCTCCGACGTCGTCTCGTTCGCAGCAAGAGCGTGGATGGTGGTTTCTTGGGGCTGCGCAGCAGCAAGCGATGGTCGAGGGAGTCACCCGTAGATCTTGAGCCACTGGATGTCGAAGTAGGCGTTGGTGAATGCCGAGGGGTTGTTGTTGACGTAGCCTGTAATTATAGGTGGTAGGCGATGAGCAAATGGAGAGAGGCTATCGCATGGGGCAGGTTACTCACTGACGCAGTCGCCGGGGCAGCCGTCGGAGCTGTAGACAGCACCAGCCCAGTCACCGCCTATTGCGATGCGCGACGAGAACGAGTCAGTGCCTGTTCCAATGACGATAGGACGTATGACGTACAGAGGGTGAGGTTGATGATGATGTTGTGCGCGCCGAAGTGCGAGTTTAGATCGCACGACTGGCTCGGGAAGTAGGCGTACGGGGTGCCCTGTCACGCGGCGCGGAAGAGTCAGCCTGACAGTTCTGCAGCTGCAATCGCTAGGAAAGGGTCGTGACTTGCCCAGTTGTCCGTGTTGATGGAGGTTGCGCCGTTCTTGACGTCGGCGGGCACAGAGCCGTCATTGCGGGACCAGAACCAGACTTTGATGAATGAGCTTGTGCGCTCCATTGCATACCTGAGAGGGTGCACATGGTCAGCGTGATGCGCTCCTGGATCACATACGGCGAATGCGCTTACCAGCCTCCCCCGGCACTGTTGAAGGCTGGGCCGTAGCTGTTTGTGGTGGGCGCCTTTACTCCGCATCCGGCATTATTGGTGGCGGCAGTATCACAGTTGTTACCGGTAGAGGTTCTAGTGGAGCGTTAGGCAGGGTTCAAGAAGACTCCCAATAAGGGGAACTCACCCAGTCTGCGAGCGCGACGCGGGCATCGTGCATCCTGGCGTCATGGCGGAGTCAGACCACAGATAACATACATTCACGGCGAAGTATGGGCATGTACTCACCGGAGCTGGTGTGAAGCGTCGATTGGTTCGGACTCTGATCGTTGACGCCCTCGAGAACATCGATTTCGCCTGGGAACAAGAAGCAGAAGCGATGAGAATCACGAGCACCGAGCTTCGCGTGGGACTCGGGACCGACCTTGGTTGGGCCAATCAGCTCCGACCTCCCACAGAGCGGGCCATGTCCTATACGGTCGTGTCAAAGAGGGCCCTATTGACGCAACGATGCCATATCGTTACTCACGCGCAACCCTGGGGCATATGGCGGAGGCTCCATCTGGTCGTCACGAGGGATTAGTCTTGACTCTCGGAACCCGAGATAGGTCGCCTGAAAGACTTACACGGTAACATGGGTCGTGTACTGCTTGTTGCTCTGCAGCCGGACAGAGTTACGTCCGGGGCCGCTGGCGCTCAGCACCGTCGTATCGTCGGCGCGGATGATGAAGTGGTCCCCCGAATAGTAAGTGAGGTTCTGCGCGAGGGCAGTGGCCTGATCAACATAGTTACTGATGGATCAAATGCCTGTCAACCCTCGGGCTCCGCATGAACATCGAGTAAAAAACTTACACTCGGCCATGAGTGGGGTCAGCAATGGCTTGGTGGGTGAACGACTGGAGGAAGCCGCTGCCCTGGTGGCTGTCCGTCTGCTGGTACGTCGCGCCAAGGGCGGAGGCGACGAAACACGCTAGAGTAACGAAGGTGCGGGAGGCGAACATGGTGCTGAAGCCCAGAAATGGAGAGAAGGGGTGTTTTGTGCGAGCTGGAAGGTCGCGAGGAGGTGGACGGAATGCAGCTCACGGCGAACGGTGAGCCTCAGCATCTCAGACTTTATACCTCGTCGCCCGACCACGAGATTTTTGGAAGAAGATAGCGCCAAAGGGGAACCATGCTGCGCAAGGTGTACGGAACCGGGATGTACAGGTCAGGTTTGCTAACGCAAGAGAGTGCAGAGCAGCGGAAGCATCCCATGGTGCCTCACGCGAAGCAAGGCACATGGTGCTACTCGACCGCCAACGCGGACGGATACCGGGCGTGACGCTGCAGTCCATACGGAAGATGTCTCGAACAGAAAACAGAATGGAAAGCGTCTCCCCACACGGTCGAGAGCGGCGCAGAACCCGGGGGTCAAGGACATAAGCAGCAACCAACGACGGTGTGGGCCAATGTGCTCTGCATCCGCGGCTATCGATAACCCGTTCCGGAGTAGCAGCCAACGTGTCCGGAGATCCCACAAGGGGCATATGTTCGACTCCAGAGCGCGTTAACATGATCCCAGTAATCTTCCGCGGGCGCACGGGAATAGCGTTTGGCAAGAAGACCAGCAAGGCAACGAGTCATCTGAGGGCGCTCGTGGAGCTTCAGCAGATGCTGCGTGTCGTCTGACTGGTTACCTGTGAGCCATTTGCGCCTCGTTGTCGCTCAGCTGTAGGGCCAGAAGAGCGATGTCGTCCTAACGACGCCCGCAGGGACGATGAAGGACCGCCGGAATGCGGAACGCACATTGAGCCCTGATTGCATTCCAGGTAGATTCGTGTGCTACCCGGTACGGCCAGCTTCCTGAAATGTAGAGAGCCACAATCCGCACGTGCATTCCCATGGCGCAACCTGTGCTGGAGGAAAATGGTAAGAGCTACTTTGAATACCCCGGAATAAATGCAGTACGGGGTATACAGCATACTCAACTTCCTTTGATCATCGCTTGACTTCTGCCAAATTCTGGGAGTATCGCCGGGTCAGAGGGCCAACTCCGAGCTCCGCGCTGGCGTGAGAAGCCAACCCGACATTGATGACAAGAGCCAGGTGAGACGGATGCCATATGTTCGTAAGTCAGCATGATCAAGACAAACGCTTCCTGTAGTGATCAGCGCGTGCACGAGGAGAAGGCGTTAGTTTGGGCGGGTGCACGTTAGGGAAAGAGCTGCATCTCGTGATACCGATATGCTCCTCAGGAGACGCGTGGCAAGCTCGGACGAGATCCTCAGGGAAGCAATGTTCACGTATCGCCGGAGCCTGCGTTCCGGACAATCGTTGTGCTAGAACATATGGACCTGGAGATACTAGGTAAGTCTGCACATGCGTCTGAAGATCGCGGTCCGTCGTTCCATAGCGACCATAAGGTTCTCATCATCTTGCCTGTCCGCCGCGTGTTAGCTATGTCTTGGGCTCATGACAAAAGTATACCATGAGGAACGTTATGTCATTGGCCATTCTTCAGCAGTACTCCATCTGCGGATCGGCGGCGGCGGTAACTGGCAGACAGCGTTGGGACTCCGAGGAGATGCGACTCCGAGTCGGACTCGCATGATAGGGGACGGCTACACGGCATCTCCCGGAATATCCACATGGTGGCTGTGTGGTGCACTTCTACATTTGGCAGTCCTCCGTCGTATGTCGTTTGGGTTAATGGAGACCGACCTTTCAGGACATCAGCTGTAGGAGGAATAATGCAGAGACATATGCATACGATGAGGGGAAAGGATATGAATAGATAGCACCAATTGTTGGCCACGCCGCAAGTAATCGTGGGTACCGCTTACTGCCTAGACGCATCGCTAGTGTTCCGCTAGTAGGACTCCGCCATGCAGGAGACCCGACGGAGCCGAATACAGTTGCGAATACAGCGGGGGAAAGTGACGGTAGACACTGACGTCAGTGTATGGGGCTTCAGACTGAGGCTCGCATTGACGGCGCATGGTCGGAGCTCTCGTATGACGTGGAGCACATGCTCGGCGTACGCACAAGGTTTCGAGGTAACGTCGACTTCGTTGTACAGTTCGTTGAGATGTTGCACTAACTGACTGGTCAGAATGCCTCCGGAAACCAGTGACGTCCGAGGCTTGCGATGACAAGCCTCAGCAACAGAGCGTGGACGAAGCACTCACAAACCGTATCGCGCTGTCGTATCGCAAACCTGGAAACTATTTAACAGAGTTTGGGGAGAGCCGCCGCCTTCAGTGCTTCTTATTGTAGAGGTCAAGCAACGCAGAGGACCTTTGCTTTCCAGACTTGTTGGACGTCTTCACAGTATAGTACTAGCGTGTACGACCTCTCCTGCCCGAACATCTCTTAGTAAGCGCGATGTGTGGTCTCGAGCGAATACTGTGACAATAGCTTCACTTTAGGTAACCGGACCCAAACCGTTTCAACTCGCTCACCGATAGTCTCGAACATAGTCGGCGCGCCTAACTGGGACCTTCGATTCAATAGTGATGTTCCTCGTCCAATCAGGATGCGCCGATATGCATAGAGCTCGGTATGACAGACGTGCATTGAAACTGAAAGATGAATCTATGATACAAATAAAATCCACATCGTCCTCCACAGCCAGAGTTCAGACCCTCGGCCTTTGTCGTAGTGTACACTCGCAGTAGTCCGCGATCAAGTGTTCAAGCCGCGCCGCCAGACTTGCGCCTGTCGTCGTGGATCTACATCAGCTCCGGCGTTTCGTCTCCAGTGATCCAACAACGCGATACTCACAGCTGGTAGCCCACAGCAATGAAGGGGATCATGAAGAATGTCGCCGCAGCGCCGGCGTACCGAGTCGCAAACTTGCGACGGTTGTCATACGTGAAGGGCATGTTCTGGGGGAGCGAGCGGAGATGAGCGACAGGGAATCCACACAGTACGATTGACAGGCGAGCATGCACTCCAGCATGAGCCTCGGGTCTCCTGCTCTGGCTGTATCAGACGGAGGATCGTTCACTTACGTGGTGAGCAGTGTGCTCCTTCAGGGGGTGGAGTCCAAATCCGCGCACTTGCTTCGGGGTGCGCCTGAGAGCAGCACGGAGGGAAGCCGGCGAAGTCCTAGCGAGCGGCGACATGTCGAGAGAACTCTAGGAACAAGTGAACGGACTTGAGAGAGGGTAGCGAGAGTCGAAACTACCGGTCGACGAGACTTGGTGTGCAGGGATGGTAATGCGGGACAAGAGTCGCTGCGCGGTCGTCGTTATGTACGCCGAATGGAACTACCCCAGTGCCCCAGTTCGTGGAGTGATGGTCGCGCGTGCCCGAGATGGGCCCCTCTGGAGCAGAGCTAGAATAGCCTTGGCCTGAGAATGAGAACCTCGGCCACAGTGCGGCATACTGACATCTATGGGCGGCCGCGGGGCCAGCTGACCATTTGTATTAGACACGGTTCCAGGTAGGTCGAGAGCTCGAGCGACCACGCGGATAATGAAGATGCCCCTATTGACCGGTGGGCATGCTACATCGACTATTCGGGCATTTCTCGCCAGATTCAAGCACGGATCGGGCTTGAATGGGCCTGGGTACCTGGACAATGTTAGTTGAACCGTGGGATGGTGGTGGTGAGCAAGGTTCAATGGAGATGGTAGCGTGATTTCCGGCATGTCTTAAGAGCTTCAATCAATCGATCAAGTCTGACCCATATGGCATATGGCATTTGTCATACTATCACAGCCCGCTTAGCTCAGTGGTAGAGCGCATCACTTGTACCGACTTAGCAATCGGGCGATGATGAGGTCAGTCGTTCAAACCGGCTAGTGGGCATTGCTTTTTGCGGTTCTCCAGGGCTTCTCCCCCAGCTGCGGGCCACGACTTGTTAGTCATTAGAGAGCATTTTCAATGTCGACGATTCCATCAATACCCAGCTGTGATAGGAGATAGCGAAAGACTGATGAAGAGTCAGGGCGTCGGCCGATGCATACGCGCCGAGGTAGTGCGATCACCTCATATCAGCACTCACTATTTCTCGGTACTGAACGTCTATACTTGCGACCGCGTCTCTAGATCTAGACTAGACCTCAGCGATAGCAGTCATGACCGTGATCAATGGATCGACGGTAGGCCTCTTCAAGGGACGCGCCTGGTGCCATAGACATATGAGTCGCCAGGGGTCTTCATTCATGATAAAGATACGAGCAATCACGATTCTGAGGAACTTGAGTATTTACATTACCAACCGCTGGATCCAAGACGAAGATGTAGCTTTCGCTCGAATCTCTTGGTCAAAAACTGGATACCTGGCAGTCATCATACGACGCGCCAAAGGTATTGTGTGCAAGATCAATCCTACATCCTCGCCTATTCCTTGGGTACTAGTACACAAGCCATAGCGTACCCATCTTCTCGAAAGTCCATAGACTTTCACTGCGTTTCGTACGCCGCTAACCAACCTCTCGGACGGAACTGATCCAAGATGTCCTTCAGGGTCTCGGGGAAAGTCCTGAACTTGGTACCCAGAACCTCCTTGGCTTTTTCGTTTGAGCAAATCCGCTTGGATGGCGGGGTAGGGTACCTGGCGGGGTCGCCCTTGTCGAGTGTAGGGAGGAGGTTGAGGTCGCGCGCGGCGTTCACTGTAACGAATTGAAGTCAGCATAGTTGAGCACGTATCCGGAAGGACGTAAAGACGTACGCCAATCCTGCCATGTGCACCATTCTATGCCAACGAAGATATCGTATAAGCATATAAGTTGTCATAACAAGAGTGTGCGATTGTACGTACGAGATGTACAGATGAAGCGTTCGCCGCCCGCCTGGTCGACTGCGAGAGCCTGAGTGTGCACGTCTGCAACGTCGCGGACGTCGACGTAGTTCATAGCGGGTGGCATGATGTGTGCGGGGTCGCGAACGACGAAGAATTGGTGCCAGAACAGAAGCATCGTCCCAGGAAGCTTCATGGGCGATTCCGGGTCGTCGTGATTTGGCTAAAGGGCAGCCGTTGAGTATAGATCAGTCGATGCAAGGGTAATGCACGTACGCCGAAGACCCAACCAGGTTGGATAGTAGTCAGGTCCCAAGAGACTTTGCCCTTATTCTCCTCGTAGAACTTCCAAGCCGCTGATGCGAGTGGTGCTTTCAGTCATAAAACGCGTTTCGGATGACCACGGACGGAATACCTTTCTCTGCGAAAATCTTGCTGGCGTCGTACATATAGTCCTTGCGAGCATCCTTGCCTTTGGCCTCGATCTCGGGGACGGCGACGTCGTTCCAGTCCTCCTCGGTGTAGGTCTTGGGCTTGTCGCTCAGAACTGCCTTGATGGAGGAAGTGACAACGATTCTCTTCGCATCCTTGCTATAACAGGATACTCTATCAAATCGACGACGACCCTCGCGATGTGCTCTGTACATACCCATGGGCGGCGGCGCTCTGTAGCAAGCCGAGTGTACCCTTGACAGCGGGGTCGATCACCTCTTTTGGGTCGTCGATCAGGTACGTCAAGGGAGATGCGGCGTGTATGATGGCTGAGACGCCTTTCACAGCGTCGTCGTACGCGTGATCCTGAATATAGTATGGCATCCTATCAGACGTGGGACTTGCGGTATGAATGCAACCAGAGTACGTACCGCGGTGATGTCTTCAGGGCGTCACCTTTGTCGGCGGACGCACAACTGCACGAACAAGATACCCTCCCTCGAGGAGGCGGCGGACAATCCATTGTCCGATGTAACCGTTGGCACCGGTGACGAGGACCTTAGCGGGGACTGAGACGTTAGGCATTGTGAGAGGGAGCTGTGAAGTTGGCACTATAGCTAGAACTCCAAGCTCTTATATCCTGCATGGAGTGCGCGGAGCGTGACGCGGGAAGTCCAGACGAGCCATGCCGAAGGCGCAACATGGGAGGGTCTCGGATAGCCCGACATTGCTAATGCAAGAGACAGCAGGTTCGGACATGACGCACGGGTCAGAACAGATGTTGCGGATAAGAGGCACTGCATACGTCGGAGAGGGATGGGGCTGGAGGTACTCCTGGAGATCTGCAACCCGGCAATCATAAACTGCATGGATCGATCACTGGAAATCCGTTGTTGCCCGGTACGTCGAGCAGTGCCCTGCGATATTCATCGTGGACTTAGATGTCCTCAAGTATCTTATGTATTGTAGGTCCGAGGGCAATCATCATGAGTCGCACCGCCGCTTTTTGCAATCAGCGAGGCTTCGGCGACCTCAAGGCCGGAAAATCCAAGTAATTTCCACTTTGCCCTGTGCCTCGTGGCTGAGATGCGATTCCTGGGCATGGTGTACATCGTTAATCCATCAGACAACGCATTCAGGGAAAAGGGGTCGTCGCAACAGCGACTTACCAGATTTTTGGCCGGTGGATCGGACTCACGGCCTCGGGGATACATCAATAGCCTGTACAGATTATACAAGCATGAGCGGAGTCAGTAGAGTCCACACTGTGGAAGTGTCGGCCATGCCAGAGTCAATGTCCGAGGCATGACATATCTGGAACTACCTTCGCCGTTACCATCGCGAACACAGCCAGAGACATGATATTGTAGAGCTGATTCTCTGGGTGTGATTGAGAGCTGGCATGAGGTACGAGGCGGCAGACGATGGTGAGTAGCTATGGTGATTTTGCCAACCTGAACGCGACGTAAAGAGGTGATTGGCAACATACATAGTAGACATCCAGGAGGTCGAAGCAGGCGCTCTAAACATTAAAGAGTACATACTTTTTCACACATTCGTGAATAAGTCCGATATGGTGTAGTGGCTAACATTATCGCCTCTCACGCGATAGCCCGGGGTTCGATTCCCCGTGTCGGAATTCATTTTGCCCCCTACGGCCAACAGACTGTAGCACCGCCGCAGCGGTCCCGAGAGTAAGATCGAGGTTGACTTCGTCCGTGGCCAACCACCATAAGTCGAGTCGCGTCCGCCTACTTTTAGTCTTACTTCTACTATCGCCTATTACCCTCATATTCTCACCAGTGCCAACCTCCCATAGTCTTCGGCATGTCCTTCAGTCCCTCAGATTCCGTAACACAACTCTGCACTTTCAAGGATTGTCTGGCGCGCCGCATTCTCGCGCAACCTGGAGTTGATGGCCAAGCTGACACTCAAACTGAGGCGGACTCCCTTGACGAATTTACATCGTACTTAGCGCAGGAAGTCTGGACATATCTCCCCCAAGCACTACGTGAAGCCACATACGAGAGTCGGGAGTCTGTACCAGACGTTGACGATCTCTCTCTGGATGCGATCCCTACCTCGTTCGCCGACACGTTAGTCTCGTGTGGGATCTCCGAAGACGATGAAGCGGCAGCGGCATTTCTACGCAAGACACTCCAGGATTACGTCGCGGAGGCGTGTGCGCCACCGCCAGTGTGGTCGAAGACTCGAACGAAGGAATGCGAGATATGCGAACGCTCTGTTCCGCTCACATATCATCATCTCATACCGCGCGAAGTCCACGACAAAATCCGCAAGAAGAAATGGCATCCTGAGTCATTGTTGAACTCCGTAGCATGGCTGTGCAGGTGTGTACGCGCATCATTAACCTGAGTAAAAAGGAGTCTCTCGCGGGCGTTCCAAGTCGCTATCACCCTATGATGATCTTCGTATTGACTCGTATTTCCCAGACCTTGTCATTCCGCCGTGCATCATGTTGCCTCCAACGAAGAACTTGCGCGAGAGTACTACACGATAGAACTACTCCTCGCTAGAGAGGACATCCAGAAATGGCGCAAATATGCGGCCAAGCAACGGTGGGGCGTTCGAAGGGGATAGCTTGGCCTATATTACTACCATCTATACCCCGTGTCCTAGAATGCATTATGATCCTCGTACTTGGGTGAGTACAAGAACATTCAGCCTATAGTGGTACCACTCATATTTTGTTGTAGACCCTCTCTGGCGACTATGACCGAAGGTCGTATGATATGTTGCAACGTGTACCCCCCCCCCTCTTGTCCAGCGGCAATGCGAATATGGTATATCCTGCCAGGCACGCTGAAGTCGCTGCGATCAGAATATGGACCCCGTGCGAGGCTTCGTGTTAGACGCGAACGGCACCGACGGAGTGATCTGCAGATCCATTCCCATAACTCCTGCTATGGCTAGTTATCTCGAGGTTCTGTTTCGAGTCAGATCCACTTGAGTCGAGGTCGACACCAGCCTCGTCTAGTATATAAGAGAACCGCACGCCTGGATTCGATCAACACCCATGATGAAGCTTCGCACGAACCTCAGAACCAACCTCTATGGCTTTCATATGCTTGCTCTTTTACATCTCGCTTTCGCAGTAGCAGCTTCGCCTAGCACTCTCCAGGCCCGCCAGTCCGACGTGTGTTCGGGCTTGGCCTGTCCAGCGAACGGTGAACCGTGCAGTGCAGAGTGCCTCTGCATCCACCCTCTGCCCAGCTCTGGGTCTGTCAGTAACGTCTTCGCATCCATTGCTATGCTAGGGCCCCACTAACCGAGCATATTTGGCTGGAATTCGCCAGGTCTGTGTGCCTAACTCTTGTGTCAGCGCACCGTGCACGACGGACGCCGATTGCTGCACGACGCCTCTGGCGTTCTTCTGCCTGAAGCCTGCGAACGTCACCGACGGGGCGAGTGTTTGTTCTGGACCTTCAGGTGTGATAGCAGCACTGACTTTGAGCTCCACACGTAGATCTGTGCACCTACGCTGCCACCTGCTTGAACTCGTCAACCTCGTCGGACCCTCACACTGTGGCACGAAGGCTGAGATATCGAAGCATGCAGGACCAGGGGCTTCCACCTACCTACGGGATAGCTGTGTCTCGGGGCCGCGGGTTAC